TGAGATTTATAAACTGAAGGAAAAGGCTTGGAATGTAGTCTGGATGAGTTGAGACACTGTCAAGTTCTCCTGCAGATTGATTAAATAAGTGAGTACTTGGACTACATGCAAAATTGTTTTACCAGTATACTGGTTAAGCAGGCTCCAGTAATGCACATTACAAATGCTCATCATTTATCATGGAGCTCTTCTTTGCTGCAGTGCTCTCGTCTCACAGCTGCTGCCCATCTTTTACAGCATTCCTTATCATTTAGAGGAAATTTAAAGACCTTTAATCTCTTGTTTTTGCCCAACCAGTCATTGCATTTAACTAAACAGCAGCTTTTAGGCATCTCCACCATAGGCACAGCTATAGACCACCCTAGGCGTGAATTGGAAAAGTTATGAATTTCATTAATTTTATATACGGTATCTGCCCACACATCATAATTGGCCACCATTTTGGTTGGCAAGTTTATTATGGAAGTCAATGGAGGCACGAAGAAAATGCCTCACTTACCTGCTGTAGCTCTATCAATAGCTAAAAAGCGCTTGTTATAAGAAAGAACAGCTGCCTATAAGCTTCTCCTGTCAAGGATTTGGTCAAATTTGCTCCAGAATTCTTAATACAGGTTTGTTTTTATGTCGGCCCGTTTGTTCTCCATTGAAAGTTGCCAACCAAAATGGCGGCCGAAATTAATTTCATCCTAAACCACGCCTTACAACCGTAAAAATTTCTAATAATCTTCCTACGCATTCTGACCGCACCCTATCGTGAATACAATTTACATCTCATTAACATTCCACCAGTCGCGTATCGTGAAAAGGTCTATAGTATAGTATCAATAGTGTCATGTATTAACCTTTCTTTCTTAAGACCAAGTTCCTGTTAAAGGTTGAAGTCCATTCAGTTAGTGTCAATATATATTATTAATTATCATTATACAGTCAAACCTGTCTAAAACGGTCACCTTGGGACATGCATTTAGTGGCTGTCTTATGCAGGTGGCCTTTTTATAGAAATGCCTTTAAATACAGTTTAAATTATTTTGTACACATTTACTGACCATAGAAACTATATAACAAGACTTAAAGAACTTTTAGGTACCCCTAAAGACCTAAACTGAGTGGTATATAGTATTATTTCGAAGGTATTATTTGAGATAACAATTAATTTTAACAAAAATTAATCATTATTAATGATGTAAAAATTAATTCAAAATGGGCGTGGTGAGATAGGCGTGGCTATCTGGCCGCCTGTACACAGTGGTGGTCTTTATCAGTCTTGATGGAGATTAATTCTGTCGGTGACCGTTAACCATCTTACAGAGAGACCGCTGGGACAGGTAAGTTTAGTATTACAGTCATTGTCCAAAAAATTGGGACATTAAATAGTGACCGTTTTAAAGTAGCTGGCTGTTTTAAGCAGTGACCGTTTAGACAGGTTTGACTGTACAGGTTGGGCAGGAATGTAGTGCCGCCTCCACGTGACACTGCCTGGGATCACTAGTGGCTACTACTGCTAGTGATGCTAAGAGCACTACACACAAGAAGAATATAACAAGACTGTACTAACAGTAACTACTCATCATGGTAGTGAATCTTAATATTATCATTGATAGGTTCAAGTTGAAATGTCAAGTGATGCGATACTCAAGAAGCAAGAGATTTATAAAGACAAACAATGACTCTTCCTTCACTCTTTCAATGTTCATTAATATTTTAATTAAAAAATATATTTTAAATTATTTTTAATTTAATATAATGGCGATTTAAATGCAGAGCAGCTGTCATTGCCTATTCTAGCAGTTACAGCTACTGCTTATAATGAGCCACCACCACATACATACACACACCACTCCATTACGAATGCTTGGAATCTGTACATTAACTGATGCACATGTACATGTACTTACATGTACATATGTTGTATGGAAGTTCAATTAAAATTGGACATGATTTTCAATGAATTATAGAGATAGGGAAATTAGTACATGATGACAGCTCAACTTCAACTAATTAATAAATAAATCAGCAAGTATCAGCAAATATAATAATAAAACAGTAAAAAATGAAATACTATAGACAATCATCCACTTTACAATATTTATTTCTAATGTAACTAGCAACAGATTTCTCTTCTATTGTATCCAGTGCTGTAGCTAATGATGACCAACTGGGACCTCCTTTCTCTCTCACTCCATCTTCTCCTCTTAACCAGGCAGACATACACTCACGGAAACGCTCCACTGATTCTTCATAGTCAGCTTTTATATCCTTTAGTCTAGGATCATATAATCCTAACTGTAGACCAAGTTCATGCCATACAGAACAAGGCAAGTGTTGATCTGATGTTAATTCTTTAATGACATCAGCAAGATCTTTAATATCTATAAAAATAATAATTAATAATGT